GTTGTGGTTGTTTCATGCAACTCTCGTATGTGATTTTTCTTCTTTATTTATTTCAGGCCCCTCCAAGGCATTCCTTGCTCACAATGTATAGAACAAAAGTCAGTTTGAAAGACCGTCAGCAACTTTATAAACTGATAATTAGTCAGCTGCTATATGATGGATACATAAATATTGCCAATGGCTTGATAAATGAAATAAAACCACAATCAGTGTGTGCACCATCCGAACAACTGCTGCACCTAATTAAGTTAGGTAAGCTGGAATAAAAAGATAACATACAAATCCAGTTTCTAAATCCCTGTCTCAAATCCTTGTGAATTAGGAGGTTAGTGTTACCGAAAAGACATCTTTTATATAAAGGTTACGTCTAGTAATAGCATAACGTGTTTGTATATTTAGATACAGCCTCTAGTATATTTAGACGCCTTTGCCTCTGTGGCTTTGTTTGAAGAGCATTCTATTTCTATGTTTCGTTCCTTAGTATGCATTGAAAGCAAAACAGATCACTGAGTGTTGTCGAAATCTGTCGTGAACTTCTTGTAACAAATAAGAATACCTGCCCGGGGTCCTGGGTGACTGGCAGCCTTCTAAAAATACGCTCCAGTAAACGGGATCACTGAGTCCACGGACCTAATAGAAAACTGACTCACACAGTTCTCTGCCAACTTCAGAAATGTTTTCTATGTGATTATTCCTGACGGTGTTGGAAAGGAAGCAAACCCTTCCATTGGCAATCTCCACTAGCCTTTATATATCAGTCTCAAGAAAATAAGCTTCACAGTCTAGGGTCTCAGCAAAGGTATTGCCTACTCTCTCTCTGTGTATCTTTCTCTCTGAAAGTACATCCGTGCTGCAGTATGGAGTCCAAATACCTGAGCTGCTGTTGAAACAAGCTGACTAAGTTACTGGAAGAGGTCTAGCCATAACATTATATCTTCTTCGTATTGTAACTGAACTGGTTCTGCTGCCTGAACTAGTTGAGTTCCAAGAGTATAAATATGTGAAGCCTTGTGTCTGTTTGAAATAAGAATGCTAGACTTGCACTTTGCGGATGAAAGCAACAGAAACTTTTCTGTTGCATTTGATCAGTTGATGATCACAGTTGGGCACGTAGCTGAAAATGATTGTGCCAGTCCTGTTACCACTTACAGTGCTGAAATGTCTTTGTTCTGTAGATGCATCCTGGAAATACAAAAAAAAATAAAAAGCATCTGTAGAGTGGATGTGAAGAGGAGTAAAAATCTTCATTTTTGATGCTGGGATAGTTGTTTGTGGGATGGTCTTTTTTTCTTCAATGCAATAAACCAGGAAAAGAATCCCCAAATGCTTCAGTTTTTTACTTCAAATCTCATATAATAATGTTGGAGCTTGTTTCTCCCCCTGTGAAAAGCTGACTAGAGGCCTGTCAGTGGCTTCAGTACCTGATTGTCAGTGCATTTATCAGTATTTATCATCTCACAGCATTTGCTGGTTGTATTTCCACAGTTAATTTTAAGGGCTGCGTTCTGCTCTAGCGTAGCCAAAATACTGCTCATTTCTTGCGAGAAGCACTGCTGTGTAACTAAATCTACTCTGCTAGCTTAGCTTGTTCAACAGGGGCTGCCTCTCTTAAAACCTGTCTCGTAGCTCTTGCAGAAGTCTGTAGCACACATCTGGCCACGGCCTGTCTGTCTAAGGAGAAGGTTAACCTGGTTTAAGTGCATCAACTTCTCTCTTTTCAGGAATGGAGAACGATGACAGTGCTGTTCAATATGCAATTGGACGGTCAGATACAGTAGCTCCCGGCACAGGAATTGACTTGGAATTTGATGCAGATGTACAGACCATGTCTCCTGAGGCTTCTGAATATGAGACTTGTTATGTCACATCTCATAAAGGACCGTGTCGTGTAGCTACGTATAGCAGAGATGGACAGTTAATAGCTACAGGATCTGCTGATGCCTCAATAAAAATTCTCGATACAGAGAGAATGTTGGCCAAAAGTGCTATGCCTATAGAGGTAAAATATGAGTTGAATCATAACCACTGTGTGAATTCTTGAGGTGCTGTCTGTTTCATGCCATGTCTGTGCCTTGTGGCTGGCCCAGTGGGTTGGACTAAATATCTGTCTCGCCGTATTTCCTACTTCAAGAGCAGCTCATAAAGTACCCTTGAAGAAAAGGAAGAAGAAATAGGGCAAGTATACCTGTGTGACTTCTGGCATCAGTCTAGAGAATTGAGCCAGAAGCTGCTTTTGGTAGTTGCTGATGCTTGCTGTATTGTATGAACACAGTTCATTTTTGAACCCACTTACACTTTTGGCCTCTACAGCCTCCAGTGGCTGTGTGTTTCAGAACTATTTCACAGAATACATGTTTGTTTGCATCAGTTTTTCTCTAATACAGTTATCGGGTAGCAGTTTAAACATGGGAGCTCGTTTTTTTTCCACACGAAAAAGCGCACACCGAATTCTCAGCAGTAGCCTGCACGAGTAAAAGTTGCAGTTTTCCTGGTTGGTATAGCTTCACCTAATTCTTATGGCAATACAGTATTTTGATTCGAACTGTGTATGAAGAAGGCGATATGTTTTCTTGCATCAGTTCTCTGCTACTGAAACTGCTTTGCCCTTGAGCAGTTGACCTTCGTAAAGATACAGGGATCTTGTCTGAGAACAATATATAATAGTCCTTCAAATAATGAAGATAATAGTGATTACGAGCCTAGCCATATGTCAGGAAGGTAGCTGTTGTTTCCCACTTGGGCAAGTATAAAACCTACATTTCCTGTCAAAAGCGTGTTCTGCTTGCTAACACTCTAACTTGTTGAATATTCTTTGTAGGTCATGATGAATGAGACAGCACAGCAAAACATGGAAAATCACCCCGTTATTCGGACTCTGTATGATCATGTGGATGAAGTTACGTGTTTAGCTTTTCATCCAACAGAACAGATCCTAGCATCTGGTTCAAGGGACTACACACTTAAATTGTTTGATTATTCAAAACCTTCTGCCAAAAGAGCCTTCAAATATATACAGGTTAGATACAATACCAGTTCAGAGCAACCAAAGCTTGAATGTCTAAGTACTGAGGTACCAGTGAGCTGAATGATGTCTGAGTTTATAAGTGGTTAGGTATGTAGGAGTATGCAGCAACAAAATTTACAGGCATTGTGGTAATTACGTGTTAAGAGTTTGTGCCTAATGGATGCATACGGTCTTTAAATGTAGTGCCTGTCTGCTTTTTGTTAATCTAGACCAAATCTAATATGGGTGATTTTGAAGTCAATTATATTATCTTTGTTTTGGAGGAGAGTCTGGGATTATGTGGTGGTGGGTTTTGGGGGTGTGTGACTGGCTGACAAAGCCTCCTGTCACTTTCGTGTGATAGCCCAAAAATGAGTAGGCACTGCAAGCTGCTCTAGGACAACAACTACGATACATTTAAAGGTAGCCTGTCATTTTAATCCTGTAGGAAGCATTTTCTGTTTCGCAAAAACAGAACACATTTGTGCTAACTGATAATTTAACAACTATTTTTTTAGCACTTTAATGCCACCAGAATTGACGCTTCCATTTCAGATTTTTTTTCTTTCTTACACCAATTATGTATTTTTGATCAAACAGGAAGCAGAGATGTTGCGCTCAATTTCTTTTCACCCTTCTGGAGATTTCATACTTGTTGGTACCCAGCACCCTACTTTACGACTGTATGATATCAATACTTTCCAGTGTTTTGTGTCTTGCAATCCTCAAGATCAGCACACTGATGCTATATGTTCAGTAAATTACAACGCAAGTGCAAACATGTATGTGACAGGAAGTAAGGACGGATGCATCAAACTGTGGGATGGTGTTTCGAATCGCTGTATCACCACTTTTGAGAAGGCGCATGATGGAGCTGAAGTCTGTTCTGCTATTTTTTCCAAAAATTCAAAGTATATCTTGTCAAGTGGAAAAGACTCTGTAGCTAAACTATGGGAGATATCCACTGGTCGAACACTGGTCAAATACACAGGTATGTGGCAGGTGACCTTCCAAATACTTTACTTTTCAGGTACCGATCCACAGCAGGAGTGGTAATATTTCCAGAAGAATAGTAATTCCTAAAGGCAATGGGAGGCTACTGCTTTGGGGATAAATTGCCCCAAATTTTTGAAAACACTTAACATAGACTAATTCCAGAAGAGAAGCCGTGATTCTTGTATGTCAGTCAGCGTAAATATATTTAGTCTGAGTAGATTTTGGAAACTTCTGACATCATTACTCCATTGCTTTGGAGGGAAGTTACCACTAAATTAGAGCAAAGTAAAAAGGAACACTGCCCTAAGGACTAGCACGTTTGTGCAGAGGGCTTTGTTCTCTAGTGTTTCTTTAGAGTGTTTTAGAAACAGTGAGTATTAAAACAAAACAGCATCATCACTTTTCTTGCTGGTGATCATTCTGATTTTGTGACTTGTCCATTTATTGGTAGACTAGGAGCACAGTTTAAACTGGAAAGGTCAAAAGTAACACCTAATCCATTTCTGGCTAGAGTAGGCCACTTTCCTGCAGAGTATCCACCCAGACAGGGGGAATTGAACATACTTTGAGACAATTGTTTTCACCATTAGACTCTTGTGCAAAAGAGGCCCTAGTAAGCCATGGCAATATTCTGAAAAATAGCTACAACCGGTTTGTTTCTTCTTTTTTTTTTTAACGATGTGATTGTGTGCAAAATAGTCACTCAGAGCATGCTGACAACACCATGCTTTGATCTCAGCAGGACTTAAAGACTGGTGAAGGATGTAGAAGCTTTGCATATGATAGCAGCTGTGTGATGGAGGAAGCTGTTGGGTCAAGCAGTGATGCGCTTAAGCATTAGGAGTCATGGCAGGAAAGAGGAGAGGATGTTGAAAATTTTGTGTGTCAGCCTTTGGGCTGTATTTGTACACTAGCTCTATTTTGCTCTCAACCAGCAGGGTGCAGCACCTCCTTGATGAACTTTTGCAAAATATGAGATGGGATGTAGGTGTGTGCATTGCAAAATAAATGCCTCTGTATGAAACACATGTTCTATTTGAAGGATATGAAGGGAAGGTATGGCCAGGCTAGATCATACAACGTGCCATATGATATATACATTAAAACCAGCAGCTGTCATTGATAACGAGAATCTGTGTGTTCTACTCTGTGGTCGTTCCTCTTGGTTACAGCTGTAAGCCTCACACAACAAATGTAAGGTGAAAGTGCTTTTACAGTTAAGTGATTGCACTCGTAGTGAGCGGTTTGACTTGACTGCCACAGTTGGAGTAGTTAATCTTTCTGTCCTTAGAATGTACCATGTACATAACTACAAAGGAGTGTTCATTAGTGACTCACCTGTTGTATGTGGAAGTCGTAAAGTACTGCTTTGTAGACTGCAGAAATTGATACTTAAGGGGAGGTTTATTTTTAGGTCTTTGGAAACTTCCTAAAACTGATCCTGTTTGGATTAATATTCTACTGCATATATTTAGGAGCTGGTTTGAGTGGACGACAAGTACACAGGACACAAGCTGTCTTCAACCACACAGAAGATTACGTGCTGCTTCCAGATGAAAGGACCATAAGTCTCTGCTGCTGGGACTCAAGAACTGCTGAACGGAGAAATCTTCTTTCTCTTGGGCACAACAGCATTGTCCGTTGTATTGTCCATTCTCCTACCAATCCTGGCTTCATGACCTGCAGTGATGACTACAGGGCTAGATTCTGGTACAGAAGATCAACGACAGACTAAGGACAGCTTTATAAAACAGTGATTATCCAGATTCATTATGTCATCTTGTATTGATTGTACTGCCAGCAGATGCCTAGATGAAAGCCGTGCTGTGTCTGTTTTTCAGTTCTGTCAAACGTGGCAGAAAAATATCAAAATACTGAGACTAAGCTTTGCCCCACGCTAATTTTTTTATTAGTGTGTGTGGTATTAATTTTTGTAAGTCATCTCTAGTTGTACTCAAGGAGGAGGGAGGGAGAATAAAATGATCCTTGCAGGAAGGATTACACTTATTCTTCTGTCTCTCTAAATCCCGCGAAAGATAATGTGACTGTATCTTGCTCAAACTGGGCAGTATGAGCCAGTTTTGCTCTGCATTGTATCTGTGCAATCCCACCGAAGTCTGTTTAGAAAATGGATTACACAAGTAACAGCAGAACTTGGCAGATATTTTAATGAAGCCTTAAGCTGCCTCCAGTTCTGAATCATTCTTTGTAAAGCTCTGGTATCTTTTAGTCTGCATTTTTTTTTTTTGGTGGATTTTTTTTTTTTAATTGGCCAAGTGGGTCTTCAGTTCAAGCCAGTCTTGTGCCATAAGAATTTGAAAGAGGATTTTAAATTGTTTAGATGAATTCAAGAAATTATGTGCTAGTTCTGGTATTGAAGCTCAGAATTGAAATCTTGTCTTATTTTGAATTTATCTTAACAAGTGGGATCTCAAATTCGTAGGATTTTCAAGGAATATCCACATTGCAACTGTAAAATGTGACAGTGCTGCAGCATGTGAAAACGAGTATAATTTTGCCATAGAGACCTTCAGTATCCTCTCAAAAAAAGAAACTGTTGTGCATATTAATTTCTGTATACGTACCTCAGAAATGTCACTTTGCTTCATTTTTTTTGAGAATTTTTCATTCTATGTCTGTTACACAGCACTTGAATTACATTCTTTTTTTAATTATTCAGAAACCTAGACTCTCCCTGGTTCTTCTCCCTGTTACCTCTAATAGTTCAAGCTTCCCAGACCTCATCCTGTTCAACAGAAGCACAGATCATTAAGAAACTCTGTGCTTAAATCTGCTCTAAGTTGGAAAATTCACTACTTGTTTTTACAGATGGTTGCCTGTGCAGTTTTAAATGTGTTGATTCAAGCGTCCTTGTGCCGTGCTCTTGGGCTTCGCTTTGGGATGCTTCCTTTAGTCAAAAGTTCAACTCTTGTTTCCATGAGGATTTTTAAATGTAAGATTGTTCTTACTGCCGGATTGACTTTCCGTTACGGCTAATGAAGTGTCTTTTCAAGGGCTGATGAGGGTACAGGTTTTGTTTGTATTTAAATAAAGATTACCTTTTTTAAAAGCTATTTAATATATACAGGAGGAAATTCAATTAATTTGTTTGTTTTGTTACATCTGAATCAGATATAGAGTATAGAACGTGGGGTGGTTTTTTAAAAAGAAGTAGAGGATGAATTTTAATTAACTCTTAAAAGCTACTGCTATGCAAAACATTTCTTAGGCTTAGCAATCCTCTTTGTTCCTCCTCTGCCCCCCTACAAGTTTCTGAAACTTTAGAAACATGGAGGGCATGAGATAGCAGTTCTGGTGGCTTTTTTGGTGGAGAAACAAGGAGAACCAGAGCTTTGGGGGGCAGGGGGGGGAAGCCAAGCCCTGACATTAATGCACGCTGTACTCGCTCAGCAACAGCAGCCCTCTGCTATTACAGCCAGCCTGCTAAATTGATAGCAGTGGCATAATTTTTTTTTTTTTTTTGGAGTGCCACATTTGTTTCAATTCTATTAAAGAAGCTGTCCATAAGTAACATATTTGCTCCTGGTGTTTGGACTCTTCTATTTTTAAAACCCTATTTTGGTGTTAAACCACTACTGTGGTTGATAAGTTAGCAGCATGCTAGCTTTCACCTCAAGCTTCCTTAATTCTGTGGTCTTTTAACTTGTAGTTTGGAAATAGAATTTTATTCTGTTAATGCAAAAACATCCCGAAATTGGCACATTTCTTTCTTTTCATATTGTGTATCATCTTGCTTGAGGGCAGAAGTTTGGGGGTTTCTATTTAAGAAATAAGAGCTGGAAGAAACTGAACTCATCCTGTTTAGGTAGATAACACAGCCCTGGAGTGAAATAGTTTAGTACTATAACATCCCAGTGGTACTCTGGTAGTTGAAGGTGGTTGATTGGGGATGAGAATGAGAGAGGTCAAGGCTGCTCTACAGCATTCAGAGCAAGCACACGTGGAGTACAGGAAAGAGGAGCCATAACTACATCTTGGAGAAAAAGGTTGTGCACACACATGGTCGTCCTGTTAGACCTGCATTTGATGGGAACACATCTTTTTCTCTGTGCAAACCTGGAAGTACCAAAGTAGTCATTCTTCAAGAGAGGTTTCACACATAGAAGCTGTATTTGATCCACTAAATTCCAGTGCAGCCACTTGCCCTTGACAAGTTTTGCAGTCTGTATCTCCTGGTAGCTACATCCCAGTGAGCTGCTCCACTCCGAGAAGCACAGTCACACTTGGGATTCATCGCCTCCTCAGGAAAGTCTCCCATCACCTGCCTAAAGGTCTGTTGCATCCATCTGGCACGTAACCTACTCTTGCCTCCCCTTGGTGTAAACTGTCGTGGAAACGTGGTGAGGTGATGCCGCAGCTGATGCATCAGGCCAGCCCGACGTGTCAACCTGAAACCAAAGCGACGTTGGAGACAGACCATAATTGCAGTTTTGTATCTTTCGGCTTTCAGCATTCCTTGGCAGTCAGTAACTGGCACACAGCTCTTGGGAAAGGCTTTCCTAAAAGGCCACTTCTGGAATTGGGCTTGTTTGCCATCCATTGAAGCAGATTTCAAACGTTCTACTTAAGGGAGCATACTGGTCTGAGACACATTTCTCATTTTGTGGACACAGAGCTCTGTCTTTCCGCCAGAGTTGCCCTGTAAGATTGAATCCCAGGAATAACTGAAGTGCAATAAAGGAAAATTAGTTAAGACAGTTTAGTTCAGGTTAGGAAGTTCTCCGTGGTGGTGTAAGGAACGCTTCACATGTGCTGCAGCACAACTGCTCTACTCGGTGAGCGGGATATCGCAGGACAGGAAGCAAAGCCCACGCGTTTCCTTGTGTACGTGTTTAAGCCTTGGTCAGCCAGGAGAACCCTCTCGCACTGCGCTCACCCGCAGGCATGCACAGTAATGCATAAGGTTTTCACAAAGCCCCTTTATAACAAAAAATTTATCGGTGCCATAAATGTTGAGACAACTTCGGAAGGTGTGAAAAAAGTTGGCTTCAAAATGCCGGATTGATACGACTGTGGCGGTCTTGTTTCTGTCAAGCGTTGTGCAGCCTCTGGTGGCACCGTAGTATTTTTGTATTTGTCACATTTCTAAAAGAGGAAATACAGGAACATGTAGCAAAACAGAAGGGTGAGACTTCTGGCTGCGGTTAATTGCGACAAGTTAGTGACACACAGATCAAGGAAAATTCCACTTGCAGACAGACTTTTTTCCGCACTTTTAGACGCTAACAGGGCTTCTCTGTTTTGCGTTCTGTTCTTTTTCATCTTATCTGTTGTCATAGATACTGTCTTTCATGAGAGTCTTTTCTACGAATTCCTAAATGCTTTTAGGGGTAGAGCTGTCAGATGTGCTTTCTTGAGACGTAGTCCCTGACACGCAGTGACTGCGCGAAGCCGAAGTCTCTTCATCCTGCGGGAATTATCTGCATTGCTCCAAGTGGCACTGCTGGTGAATGACAGCAATGGAGAGCAACGTCAGAATCCACGCAACTGCAAAGGTATGTCTGGGTTTTTGAGTACGGCATATAAACAATTAAGAAAAAAGGGTCTTAGAGTAGGGTTTGATGTTTGAATTCAGCGTGACGCTTGGTGGTGTTGGAAATGTTTGGTATTCTCATCTCGAGGTGGACAGAGGGGTCTTCACGATGCTCATGTACCACCTCCCTGTGCTTTTTGTCATGACAAAATTATTAACTGGAAGAAGTGTCATCTTTCTGAGAACTGTGAATAAAGTAGAATTCCCAAATAGCAAATATCTGTGAATAAACACAGTCATGAAATAATAAATATATACCTTCAGGGTTCCACCTGTCTTACTGCTATCCTGCAGTACGATTTCAGGCACGGCTGTATTGTCAGAGACTT